GGTAGACAAGACGTTTATGATTTGTGGTAGGTCACGAAAACTTGCCTCTGTCAACTTATGATCGACTGGCCTCCTCGTCAGATCTCCTTGTATATAAATATATGTATATTCTAATGCGAACGTGAGCGGTTTTTAAAATAATCGTTCTATAAAATCGTTTTATTATACTCTGCTCTGTAAAAAAGAAAACTGGTTTTTATTTATATTCCACGAATTTTGACATCAAAATTCGTTTTTCTCGTTATTTTTTTTTTTTCATACCATTGTGTTACCATTTCAACAATTCATTTTATAAATATCTCTATTTCGAGTAAATTATTTTTCACAACGAGCAACTATTTCTTTCTACAGTTATTTTTGAAAATTAAGAAACGAAGTTTTCAATGAACAATTGTACTTCTATAATTTTGCAAACATTTCGTTTTTGATAACATTTCGTGAAAAATTTCTTTTCGAAAAAAAAAAAAAAAGAAAAAAGATTCCGCGATTTTTCATCTCGAATTCTATCTGTTTTCGAATATTTTGTATTTTTTTTTTTTTCTATTCGAAATCTCTCGAAATTATATTAAATTCGTTAATTCGAAATTTGCAAGATAAGAATTATGCAAAAAAAAAAAAAAAAAAATCTCGCAACATGCGAGATTCTAATAATAATTGTAATGATAAAAAAAAATTTTAAAATTACATTAAAATAAAAAGTAATGTGTAAGAATAATACTGTTGTAATATTCTTAACATTCGGAGAGCGAAATATTACGACCAATGTGAACCGCGGCACGAGAAGTAATAACATCGATCGACCGACTAATATCCGAATTTTATTTTACGGAGTCGCTTTCAAAACACGGAGCGGAACGGTCGTGTTTCCATTCGCTCCGCGAACGAACATTATATTATATCGTTCAATTATGGATGGATTAATGGATTATCGTGCAAAATAATTATAAATAAAATTGAATGACCGATACAAAAAAACGTACAAGGACAATAAAATAATAAATTGTTACAAAAATATTACGAAGAAGAAATATCATTCGATATATATATATATATTTCGATTCGAACTCTAGTATTATTGGATTTCGAAATTTTTAAGATTTTTTTTTTTTTTTTCTTTCTTCGTTTTAATTTCGTTTGAAATTTGCAACGTAAGAATCATGAAACAAAAAAAATTTTTTTTCGTTACTACCTTGCAACTTTTGGACACGGGTTGAATTGCCTCTTTTAATAATATCTGATGACTTGAATGCGTGCAAATCGTTTTAACTAAACTGAAACGTTTCACTCGCAATATATTTATATACCAATCATATACAATATTTTCAATGTTAAATTTTTAATTACGTTTAAGGAAGAAACGATGATGATAAATTGTTTTGTTCGTGGACAAACAAAAAAAGATGACGTAGAATTCGATCTTTTTTATTTTACGTTATACTAATTTTTCCTTATTTTTTTTTTTTTTTTTTTCGTTTTTCGTTCGAACCGAAATTTAAAAACGTAAAAATTTTAAATATTTGACTTGGTTTATTGTTGCCATTGAAATCTGATTTAATTACGAAATATTTTACGTCAATTTATCGTTGATCAATTATTTTGCTGTTAACTCAATTGCTCATCGACTCGTTCAATTAATTAACAATAATTAATTGACCATCGACTTGTCAATATAACCTCCTTAACATAAAGACACGTTTTTTCCCCTACGATTATCTAATCACCACCAGTTTCTTCTCTTATCACGATACTTCCTGTTGACATTATCAAAAAAGAAGAAGAAGAAGAAGAAGAAGAAGTCTTCGAAGAACGACAAACATTCAAGAAAAAAGAAAAGATATTAATAATATAATATAATTAAATAATAAAGTATAAAAAAATATATATATATATACATAATATTATAGGATTATTGATTTCTAAAATTAAAACGAATAGATCCAAAGTACAGGATGAGATGAGATCAGAGATATTACATTAATCGAGAATCACAGACAATAAATAAAAAAAAAAAAATTAATGGCGTACGTGAAAAAATTTCGCTGAATTACAATATCGTCGATGAAACTAGATTCATCGAATCACATAGTCAATACTGAGTTAATATAAATGAGAGATTTTTGACGTGAAAAGAGAAAAATAATAGGATTTGTCGAAAATGGATAAAGATGGGACGATGAAAGACGATGTTCTCTCAGAGAGCGTTGAAGAAAGTTTGATCCACGAAGGTTAAATTCCAGCCTTGCAAATCCGTCTGTCTTGTAACAAGATAAAAGTAGAATTTTAACGAGTAACGGAACGATCTTTTTAAATTCGATGAAATTATTCGACTATAAAAATTAAGTAGAAGAATTAACGATAGTATTAAATTGATTAAAATTAATCAAAAATTTAGAAATTCGAATATTTTTGTAAAATTCCTATAATGAAAATTATAATTTTTCATATACTCTGTAACAAAAACTTCAAAAACTGAAAATTTTTAAATAACTCGAAATGAAATTAAATATTTATTCTGATCCTTAAATTCGTCTAAAAAATTACAACTTCTTTATCACAGTCTCCAGTCGAATGACACCAAAAATTTCAGACTTTATGTAATGACAGAGAGAGAGAAAAGAGAAAAGAAAATTTTCACTCGTATCGTTTAAAATCAAAAAACCGAATGTTGGTCGAAAATTTCGAGTAGGGGAGAAGAATCAATTATTCGACGCAGGAAAAAATTAACAAGGCATAAAGCGTGCAATGAAATTCTGCCAAACGCATAAAACCACCATGTGGTTTCTATGGCATTCAATGACTAAACAGGAAAGTTTAAAACTGGGAACAGGTTTCCCGATGGGCAAAGTTCACCTCAACCTCTGCACGAATGAATTTCATCTTCTGCTTCATCTGTGTCCGTGACACGTTTAAACGAGATTACGCAACATAACCTAATCTTCCCCCGGCTCGACCAGTTCCTCGGAATCCCGTGTCACGGTTTTTAATTGCAAATCATCCGTTTCGACGAACGATGACCGTTGAAAACAGGTGTCGGATGCTATTACGTTTATCCTCTCGATCGATTTTTCCACTCCACTCGTTTTTTGGATCAGTTAGGTTATGTCGACGATCACGCTTGACGCAATCGAATGTGCGTTAGGGTTTTTTGTTATTTCACTAGGATTGATCTTTTTTACCGATGTACGGTAAAACTGTTGTAAACGTAGTATAATTTTATTTTATTTTGGGAAAAGATCTCTATGAATGGTTAACGATAACGTTTTTAAAAATAAAAATACAAATTTTTCAATTCTAACCTATCTTGTATTTTTACTTGTGTAAATTTTCCGATTAATTAATTTAACGATTTTTCAAAAGTTTTAAGATTTTCTTAAGATTCAACGATATTTCTTATCATCGATACATAATTTCGTTGTAATAAAATCAAAAATAATCGGTGATGAGATGTCTTTTACGATGTCTCAATAAATTACGATGTCTGACCATAATCTGTTTGAACCAGAAACAAGGGAAAGCAATAAATTAATCCAGCTTGTTTTCTTCGTTTCAATTCGATTGATTCTCATATTCGAAAGAATTTATAAAAAGAATATTTATATAATTTGAATACGATTTAACGGAAAAAAAAAAAAAAAGGAATGGCAAAAATCAGCTGCTAACCAGCACACAAAAAAGTAGGGAAATAAGAAAATATGGAGGACAATATTAATAATAATTAAAAATCAACACGTGTAACGTATTGACATAACACACAATTATTGAACAAAACAAGTAATTTCTTCATAATTAATCAACAAAAAGAAATCATTATCAAACATTATTGATTCACGACGTTAAGAACCCAATAACTAACATTTAAACAATATCCCGTACACAATTATTCTTTCCATGAATAACATAATTGCGATGACGTATTTTAAAACTCTATCTCTAAACGAACTAGTCGAAAAAGTTTTGCTCCGCAAAAAAACATCGTAACATCCTTTCACATCTCTGATGTGATTTTTCCTCTCGATACAAGACACGAACATTTCGTAAAAAAAAAAAGAAAAAAAAAAATTTTTTTCAAAATCAACCAATTTTCTATCCCATTTAAAAAACGACAAAAAAAATAATTTTTCCTCTTTCTCTTCAACACTTAATTGTCAAATCGAGAGATCAATCGAATCTATTTAGAAAAAAAATAAAAAGAGCAATTCCCCTAAATATAAAAAAAAAATTCCTATCCCTATCCATCCACTTCCCGAGAAGGATCCGCAGTGGGAGGATCCCCTCCCCTCCCCTCCCCTCCCCTCCCCCTCCTCCCAATCAGCGAACGACCTTGGCCGAAGGGTGCACGCGTATTATGCTTACTTCCCTTTCTCCATCTCGAGGCAGGTCTGGCGGTAGGAAAAGAGACCTTGACTCATAGCACGAGATTTTCAGGCGATCACCTGAAGGCCCACACACCCCCACCCCGCCGGCCGGACCCCACTTGCTTAACCAATACTTAAACCGCTACTTCGCTCGGCCGCGGACTATTCACGCAGCATCGACCGTTGGACCCACGTTTGATACATATATACACACACACACACATATATATATATATATATTTATATACATATACGCACATATAAATATATATATATATATATATACGCGTGCACACTCGAATTTCACATTTATACAAATGCGCGTGTCTTATCATCCCTAAATAAATAAATAAACAAGTGTATAATAAATCGTGAATTGTGGGTATACGAGTGTTATATATCGACTGGTTTCTTTTTTTTTTTTTTTTTTTTTTTTTTTTGCGAAGGGGAGGAAGATTGTGAGGAAAGGATGATTGTGAGAAGGGGAAGAAGAGAGGTGAATGTTTGTTAGTATAGTATATGTGCAAAAAGGGAAGATCCTGTTGAAGAGGGGGAAGAAGAATTTTGAGGATCCAAATTTGAGGGGGGAGGGAGAAAATTTTGGGGAAATTTGGGAAGTTGAAGATCTGTGTGTGTGCGTGTCTCTCTCTCTCTCTATCTCTCTCTATCTCTCTCTCTCCCAGAGAGGAGAATCTATGTTGGGAGGAAAGTAAGAAGGTTATGAGGATCAATCGAAATCCATTGGGAAAGATCGTGAACAAAGAATCTATTAAGGAGAGAAAATGCAACTGGGAAAAAGGAGATTTGTGAACTAGTGTCCATTGGGGAAAAGAGAAAATATCGAAGAAGAGCGAAACGTTGATTAATTTTAATAAAGGAGGGGAAAAATTGTGAGCAAGGTACCGTTTTTGAAAACGGTAATTCAAGAACGGTAAAAAAAAAGAAGGATTAGGGCTTGGATCTGTCCAGGAGGAAATTAGAAATTGAACATTGAGGCCGATACGCGAAGGTGGAAGAGATACTGCTGGCATTTTCCTCGAGAAGAAACGGCGTCGTTTTCGTTGGTGAACAAGGTAAGCTTCATTATTCCTTTGACGCGTGTCAAATTGCATTGGTCGCGCTATATGAATGAACAGATATGGGCAAATTGGTGAAAAAAATTCTCATTATGGAAATGGGATTGAAGAGAGAAAATCAAATTTCTCGAACTCGACCTAAATTCATAACAACATTCGAAGATCGAATGAAAACTGGTATTACACGAGACGATCAATATGATCCTGATAAATGTTATGTTCGTCGGTTTGTAAAGACAGATTCGGAGAACAGGTTCCGTTATACTCTCCAACAGGGTCGAGATAAAAATAATTATCTCGAACGAACGAGATTAATTAAAATTCAAAAATCGAAAAATAAGGTATATAAAAATTAAAATATTTTAATTCTAAGTAATGTCATAATATAAACAATAATATTTATTATCTAAGTTCAATAAGTGTCGATCATTTTTATTTTATATATCGTTAATTAAACGTATCTTCCTGTTTTTTATTATTATTTTCTTATTCAGCAATGAATTACTCGTTAAAATGGCATTGAACGATATCCATATTTAATAATACAGCAATTACATATTATACGATGTAATATAATATTACAAACGCTATTCTGAAATTTTTATTATTTAAATTTTATATAATAATATTTTAAATGCTAAAATCCATTTATACAATTATTATATTCAAGAAAAAAATTTAACAAATTATTTTCTCCATTCCAATATATATATATATATAATTGTCCGATTTGATGAATCCGTGTCACTTAATTAAACATGCAATAATCGAACGATAATTGGCACGTAAAAGTAATAATTGAAACACAAAAAGTGGATTCTGTGGCACGCGAAAGAGAAACAATCGCCAGGCACGATCGTCTCACCTTGTTCATCATGTATGGCTAAAGGTATATCGAATATAGAGAAGTGAATCGAGGATAGTAAAATTAAATTTCAATTTAACAAATATGAATAATGTAAAATATATAAATATATAGAATAATAAATAAGAGTGTCGAAATAGTGAAATGGCGAAGAGAACTAAAAAGTGGCGTGTAATTACAATGAAATTAGAAACAAAGATATTTATTTCTAATGATGGAGATAATCGCGATCTCGGAAATATTCGGCTGTCCTCGGCAACAGTCGATTCGGCATCGTTGATTGTCGATCAGTAAAAATTGAATTAACGCAACGTGCAGTCGAATTAATGATATTTTGTGAAATATTAATTAGTTTAATTTTATTACGTTTAAAAAACGTCCTTTGCAGGATCAAAAAGATAAAAATCATCGTGTTCACAGATACGTATTGAATTTGACACGGCATGGGAAGTTACAATAGAAACGTGGAAAGTTAACCTTAATGTGCACAGTGAGAGAGTGCAAGTTTTCAAATCTTTTGATTTCAAATAATTTAATTAATTTGAAAAAGGATCTGTAACATATCAGTCAATTGTTATTAAATTGTTATTGTTATCAAGTTGTCGTTGTTATTAAATTACCGAGACAATTCAATGAAAATTAATTATCTGGATACAATGTTTCCAATAATTGTATCCGTATAATTTGTATTGTAATTTGATTGTGCATTTTGAATTAAGAAAATTAAGAAAAGTATCACGAATGAAAATTTCACAAACTCATTGTTTACATGCAAACATCCTGCGCTTATCATTCAGATCGAACGTTTCGAGAGAGTTGCAAAATAGAGTTTTACACTTTCGAGGGTAGCCATTCGTAAAATTTTTACTGTGAAACATTGTGAAACGAGTGAAGTGTCCGGTTGTTTGGACAAAAATAATCGATCGAACGTGCACTTCGTGCGATTTCGCGTTACGTCTGATCAGTTAGGGGTGTGTTCTACTTGAGAAAGTCTCAATAGCGACATTACGACTTCGACGTACTTCTCTACTTTTTTACTTTTCTTACAATATAATATCCATTATTGTCCTTCCTCTTTGCCTTCTTCTTTCTCTCTTAATTTTAACTCTTCGATTAATGATCGATTTTTTCAAAACAATAAATTAATAAATATTTAAGTATATCCAAAATCGAAAATTTCAATTTCGAATTTTTACAATTCAACGGAAAATTTTTAATTGCAAATTTTCAACGTTTTTCTTTTCTCTTTTCAATCATTCACATTGACACGATTATGGGAAAAATAAAGAATAGCCGAAAATTTTCACAAATCCGAAAAAAAAAAAAATAAGAAATGAAAAAGATCCTCAAAAACTTTCGAGTCTAAAAACACATCTAAACGTTCGCTAAACGTCCCATTTACCCCCCTTCCTTTTTTTCCTTCTCGCACAAAAACATTCTCCCATTCGAAAACGGTGAAAAGTCCGTTTCCAAGATTGGTAAAAGATTGTCACCGCTTTGCTGGCATTCCATCAACGCACGACGCGTTATTCGTAAACCAATTTCTCCTCGATTACACGTGTGACAGTGATAAGCAGCTGATAGTTTCGAGGCAAGTTTCGTGGATAAGATTCTGTTCGATGGAATAAAAGAGGTCAGGCATTCTTTTCCACCGGCATTCCTTTCGAATCGTCTAAAACCAAGGATGCGCCGTGGCACACTTTTGCACGATACAAGAATTTCTTTTTTTTTTTTTTTTTTTTCTTTTTCTTTTTCACTTGGAAATTCGTTTGTCCATAGATCGAGTCAATTGTGGTCAATCGCGAGAAAATGAAAAGAAAGAAGAGTATCAAGAATCTTCTCCGAGAGAGGATTCCTCCTCCTCCTCCTCCTTCTGTTTGTGCACATACATTTCATCTCTTTGGAATTCGAGTCGAATATTGCGGCACGATTTATGGATATGTTTACGACATTGTTCATTTTCTTTTCTTCTCCTCCTTCCTTTTCTTTCCTCCTCTTTTCTGGTAATTGTTCCATCATCGAGCGGAAACAGTTATGTGTTATCTGTAATATCTTCGCTGGATTATCGTTTTTTTAAGTTGATTCTAGAGCTAGAATTGCGGGAGGGGGGAGAAAAAGTTAATCCTCAGTGTTCAAAAAATGATGCGTGAATTACGCACTGTACAAACTATACAGGTGGTTGATAAGATTCGTTCTAAAAATTTGCACGATATAATTGATACTTGTGCACATTCACACGCACGTCAATTGTTAATCAGATCACGAAATAGGAGCAAGAGAATATCTCGGAAGATATTATTCCGATGCATGGGATTTCTCTCGTTCGTCGGTTCTAGTGACTTTTCGGCCCCGCCTTTTGAATTTCCCGCCCGCAAAATTTCCCCAGACAAACCACGAGCAAATATCCAGGGATTTAAATTGCTGATCCTTTCTGATTGAACGCGAAACTTTGAAAAACTTTGATGAATTACAAATGAAATTAGTTACAATGAGATTAATTGCCGGGTTTTTTGCATAAATTATATAAATAAACATGATACGCATCGCTGATGCGAGTCGAATTAATTTTCATAAAGCGGGATCCTACTTTTCCTCAGTAAAGAAAAAACTTGTACGATTGATGAACTTGTGGTGCCACACTTTTTCTCCATTTAACAATTTTGCGCGAAGTTGACCCGCCAATTTTTTTTTTTATTAAATTTCATTTTCATACGAAAAAGCTCAATTTAAGAAATGTTTGCATCTTATTTCAGATTATCACTTGACACTATAAATATAACAAGATGAATTTTCTGGTCTATCGACAAATCTCACTTTCGATATTTTTCTTTCTCGCAAAAAGTCCGAAGAAAAGAAAATTCTCAAAACGCTTATCTTAAATAATAATCGTTTAAAATAATTAAGATAATCCCGCGAGTAAGTCGAAACTAATTTATTAGTATTGCTTAAACGGGATTATAAAATTTATTCACGCGTGCATTTTTACGTGAAATGAATTTAAGTAATTTAAAGTAAAGTAAATTTCAAGCACAAGATATATTTCTTATTACTTGCTTTGGAAAAATATTTATTTGAAAAAAGTAAAAGCAAAAAACGAATCTAAAACTGATTAAATAAGTAAATACATTCCGTATTGGTAGTTAACGGTCAACGTGGCGCTAGTGTCGCGTCATTGCTCTTCATATTATTAATCCACTGCTATACGCGTGTAATAAAATTATTGATATTTCTTCGTTTGCAACGTATGAAACGATTTTCCCACAATTGTTTCGATTTCATCGCCACCCCTTTTTTGTTTTTAACAAACCTAATTGCACCTCGTTTTCCACGAAAAAGTAAACCGTATCAACCTGTCCCAAGTGTCATACAAGTCGCATAAGGCTCAGAACAATCGCGTAATTTATCGTGTTGTGTGATAAAATACTTTTATTCTTCGTTACTGCTTTCTGTCTACCAAGAATTTATTTTTACTTTGTATTTGTATCGAACCAAATAACAATTAAAAAACAAAATATTTGCATTGCATTCGATAGGCTACGAACAAGCCTGATATTTATATTAGGCAATTTGATTTACTTTTTTGCTGATTATAATAGAAAAGTTTCTTCTTTTTACCCGATCTGTATGACCGATTCGAGTGAATACTCAAGCGTTATGCAATCCATTAAACGAAATATTCGGCACAAGGTCGCTGGACCATTTTTAAAACTTCACTCTTTCCACTCGTACGTTCGAGTGGAATGTAACGAGTTTCTTCGAAACGATTTACAAAACGAACCGGATTCATTCGCTGCAGCCATTCGTTTCTCAATTAGAAAAATATTGCGGTATTTTCGTTTAATTTTTGAACATCGGTTCGGAATGAATCGATACTTTTGTATTAGAAAAAAATAATAGGTAAAAATAATAAGCTTCGGATAATCCTTCTCTTATTTGCAAATTATTTATTAAGTAAATGAGGTTTCGGTTGGACGAAATATTTTTTGTACATCTATACTTTTAATAAATCGAATCGATAAAAATACAATATATATTATCTTACTTCAAAATTTTGATAATCAATTACCCTTTGGGATAAAAGAATCGTGATTTACTCCGAAACACTCCGTAAATAATCATCGTCCTCAACTAT